GGGAGGCACTTCAAGTTGTCACTTGTATCTTTTTGACATGATCACATTCAACTTTGATAGATTATTATTATGATTTTGCTTTGTTGTTGTTGTAAAGTGCCGTGAAGTCGATTCCGACACATACCATCTCTGTGTAGGATTTCCAAGGAGTAGTTGGTGAGCTTGAACTACCGGCCTTGCAGTTCAAATGGCTTTGCAGTCTGTCACTTTGCTCCTTAATATTGCAAGTAGAGAATTAAATATTTTCTTCAGTTCTATAGGATTGAGAAATACTGAGAGTGTTCTTCCCTATGGTTTTCTAACTCCAGGTATTTGTACATTTCATTATAATACTTTGTTTTCTCAAGCTGTCCTCAGAAATTTTCTGTTCGGTTCTTTTACTTCATCATTTCTTTCATTTGGTTTCTGACATCTACTTTAGTCTTTCTTTCTTCCTTTCCTGTCTTTTTAAATGACCTTTTGCTTTCTTCATGTATAATTTTATTTTAGGGCCTTCCTCTTTTTATTTAAAAAAAAAAAAAATTATTGTGAATTGAGTGAAGATTTACAGAGCAGATTATCAGTTTTCACATTCAACAAATCATATACTTAGTTTCATCTTGATTGCAGTCTCCTCAATGTAATATCGCTTAATCCACTTCTACCCTGTATTTATTGTTTCCATTCCTCCTTTTTTCTCTATACTTCTGAATTTTGTCCTTAGATTATAAATGCTGCCCTTTTAATCTTGAATGGTTGACCATTCTATGGTATGTGTACCTCATATGTATGATGTTGATGTCATTCATCCCACAACTCTGGTCTTAAGAACGTTTGTTCTTCAGATGGTCTCAAAATTCAGGTGGATATACTTAAGGTCATATTTTTGGCTCTCGTGGACTTGTTCTAATTTTTTCATCTTCAGCCTAAACTTGTATGAGCAATTGACAGTCTGTGTTATAGTTGGCCCTTGGCCTTGTTTGTTTTAGCTGTTGAGATTAAGCTTCTCCATTATCTCTTTAAACAGATGTAGTTGATTTGATTCCTTATATCCATCTGGTGAAGTCCACATATATAGTCACTGTTTATGTTGTTGACAAAAGGTATTTGCAATGAAGAAGCTCATGCAAAATTCTGTCAGACAATTTACAGTGTCATTTCTATAGCCAAGTCCATATGTTCCAACTACTAATCCCTCCTCTTTGTTTCCAACTTTCTCATTCAGATCACCAGTAATTATCAGTGCATCAAGGGTTTCAGCCTGTATAATTATTATTCAGGTTCTTCATCATTGGCTATTGTGATTGGTGCATAAATTTGAATAATAGTTATGTTAATGGTCTTCCTTATAGACCTGTAGGTATTATCTTATCACAGACAGCATTATACTTCAAGATAGATATTGAAATTTTCTTTTTGACAATGAATGGGATACTATTCCTCTTGAATTTCTCATTCCTAGCATAGTAAACTGTATGATTGTCTGATTCAGAATGGCTAATTCCTGTTAATTTCAGCTCACTAATGTTTATGATAAGTCCTGGTGGTGTAGCGAGTTAGTTACATAGTGGACTATTAACTGTAAGGTCAGCAGTTCAAATCCACCAGCTGCTCTACTGGAGGAGAAAGAGGAGGCTTTTAACTTCTGTAAAGTTTTACAGCTATGGAAACCTTACACAGGGTTGCTGTGTGTTGGAACCAGGCTGGACGGTGTACAATCACTACTACCACCACCACCACCACCAATGCCTATAATATTCAACTCATGAATTCCATTTCACCCAAAATACTCAAAAAGAACTTCCCATTTTCCTAAATTCATACTTCATACATTCCATGTCCCTATTATTAATGGATGTTTGCAGCTGTGTCTTCTCATTTTGAGTCATGCCCTATCAGGAGATGGTGGTCCCAAAAGCTTGCTCCATTTACATCACTAAGATTGACTCCACTTTGAGGCAGCAGCTCTTCCATAGTTTTAGTTTGAGTGCTTTCCAACCTGAGGGGCTCATCTTCTGACGGTATCAGACAGTATTCCACTGCCATTTATAAGATTTTTCAGGGACTAATCCCTCAGAAGTAGTCTGCCTCCTTTTCTTTCTAGTCTGTCTTAGTCTGGAAGCTTGCTGAAACCTGTACACCATAGGTGACCCTGTTGGCATTTGAAACACCAGTGGCAAAACTTCAGCTTCATGGCAATATGAAACCACCACAGTATAGCAAACTGGCAGAAAAATGGTGAACTGGGAAATACAATTCATTTATTAATTCATTCAACTAGTATTTTCTGAGCACTTAACATCAGGTGCTGTTCAAAGTGCTAGCAAACAAGAGAGGTCTCTGAGCACTGTGGTGGTGGTTTAAGTGATGAACATGAAAGACATGCTTAAAAAAACATAATGTTCAAGTATGATGATGCTATTAAGAAAGTAAGATAGAACAGTGATACAGAAAATGACATTTGGGCTTTTATTTTGTTGTGTTTTATTCTTAATTTTTGCTCTTTCTCAAGGAAGGCATTAGTGGATGTTCAACTGAAGGTTAGCATTTTCCCCCCTTTTTGGTATATACTTTTTGATGGGAAATTGCAGACAGACAAAAGTATATAGTAGCAATATAGTGAACCCTCATGCACCTATCACCCAACTTTAACAGTTACCAATATTCTGCTGTTCTTGTTTATGCAAAGCTTTTATACTTCAAGTATTAAAAGGTGGTTAGTTCGAAACTACCAGCAGCTCTGCGGGAGAAAGATGAGGCTTTCTACTCCCGTAAAGATTTACACCCTCGGAAACCTTGTACAGGGTTGTTATGGGTCGGAACCGACTCGACGGCACTTAACTACTACTACTAACTAGTTTGAACCCACCAGCCACTCAGTGGGAGAGAGATGTGATAGTCTGCTTCTATAAAAGTTGTTAAGTGCTGTCGAGTTGTTTCTGACTCCTAGTGACCCTGTATAGGGTTTCCGAGGAGCAGCTGGTGTGTTTGAACCTCTGATCTTGTGTTTCAAAACCAACCTTGCAGTCTAGCGCATTAACTCACAGTGCCACACTAGGACTCCATCCTTGGAAATCATGTGGGGCAGTTCTATTCTGTCCTATAGGATCACTATGAGTTGGAATCAACTCCGTGGCGATTGGTGGTGGTCCTTTGCATACTTAGGAGCCTTGCTAGTGCAATAGTTGAAGCACTCAGCTGCCAACCAAGATATGTAGGCAGTTCCAACCTTCTAGGCCTGCCTTCTTGGAGCAAGATGTGGCAATCTGCTTCTGTATGGAGTTGCTATGAGTCAGAATCGACTTGATAGCAATGCATTTACTTTATATTCTTATTCTTAGGATCCCTGGTGGTGCAGTAGTTAAGCACTGAACTGCTAAATGGAAAGATTGATGGTTTGAACTCCTGAGTCATTTCTCAGGAGAAAATTTTGGCAATTTGCTTTCATTATGGTTGAGTTGTTGTTAGGTGCCATCACTTGGTCCCAAGTCAGTAGTAACCCTGTGTCCAACAGAACCAAACATCGCCTGGGCCCTGTCCCATCCTCACGGTCGTTGCTATGCTTCAGCACCTTGTTACAACCACAGTGTCAGTCCATCTCATTGAGGGCCTTCCTCTCTCTCATAGGAACAGTTCTAGTCTATCTCCTTGAGACAGTATGAGTCAGAATGGACTCAATGGCAGCAGGTCTCTTGTTGAAGCAGTCAGTCCTCTTTGTAGCTCTAATTCCCTTCACCTGCCTCTTTATGTAGCAGGTGCGTTCATTCATCCAGCAGATAGTCATTGAGCACCTGCACCTGTGTTGTGCTAGGCCTGGAGTGAGAGCTGAGAGGCTTTGGTGTGTGTGGCATTATAGGATAAACTCTGAACTGCTAACTGCAATATAGGCAGTTCAGATCCATCAGTTGCTCTCAGAGGAGGTTGTTGTTGTTGTTGTTAAGTGCTGTTGAGTCAGTTCCAACCCATAGCGACCCTGTACAGGGTTTCCGAGGAGCAGCTGGTGAGCTTGAACTACCGACCTTGCAGTTCAAATGGCTTTGCAGTCTTGCGCATTAACTCACGGTGCCACACCAGGAGGCCTCAGAGGAGGTTAACATTCTTAATCTCTAATTCTTAATTCTCTGGAAAAACACTGGTCAGATGTAAATTCTGTTGGAACTCTCTGATAGTTGGAATCAAGAGTATTTTTTTTTTTCTTTTGTTGCCCTTGAAGATATTTATATAACAGATGGAATACAGATTTCTTTCCTTGATTAGAGAAATCTGTTGCTGCTTGTGAAAATTACTTATGTGGGCACTTTTCACAGAATAATACCGGTTTTGTTTTGTTGAGGGGAAAACTATTCCTGTGAAAAAAAATTCACATTTAAAAAAAATTTTCTGTGACTTCATTGCATTCACTGTTTTCAAGTAGTGAAATGTATAGTTTCTTGGTTCTGCCATGAGTGGAGTGGCACCTCCACCATCAGGGATCCTCTCCTGGATCCTTCTGAGCTTATTTTAAGGTGGTTCTGAGGGTCAAATGAGACCTGTGAGGACAGTTGGCAGTTAAAAGGAAATCACTAATGAGTTTAAAGGTAAAGGAGCTGCCTGGAGCTTATCTTTGCCCTTTGTTGTATAATTACACATCATGTCCACTGAACATTTTCAAACCTGTAATTAAAGTTTGGAAAGATCAGTGCATTTCTTCAAGAGTTACTTGTTTAAGGAACTCTCTTCAAATAAGCCTTTTGTGTGTTTCTCAGATATTTTTGAAGATTGATCCAGGAGCACATAAAGAAGATGTCTGTTCATTTGTAGTTGTATCTTTTATTATTGCATATAGAGGCTCTTAGGTATAGGAAAGAAGTAATTGAATAGGAAAATGAATTTCAGTTTTTGTGTTTCTATTTGAATAGCATACTAGTCAATATTGAGAATGTAAGATGTACAGGGAAGAAAAGGGAGGGCATGAGGTTTTTAGAAATGGAAACTCAAATTAGTTTAAATACCTTGTATGATTTGTTTTTTTCTTTTTAAAGGAAACTTGAACATAACTTCAAAAGAGGATTTGCTTCTTTATTTCTGATTGCATATACATACCAAGGCCATCAGAATGTCGGGAGCATCAGTAAAGGTAGCTGTTCGGGTACGGCCCTTCAACTCTCGAGAGACCAGCAAGGAGTCCAAATGCATTATCCAGATGCAAGGCAACTCAACCAGTGAGTACATGTCATTTTCTCACCTTCTTCTCTGCCCTCCCTTCCCTTCTGGATGTGATCAGAAGTTCATATTTGGGTATTAGCACTCTGAACTTTTCTATTTTAATTGATCCACTGAATATTTTTCCTCCAAAACTATTTGCTGTGGTGGTAGTGGTGGTTACGTGCCGTGGAGTTGGTTCTAACTCATAGCGACTCTGTATAGGATATTTGGGGCTATAAATCTTTACAGGAGCAGAAAGCCTCCTCTTTCTCTCGTGGAACAGCTAGTAGTTTCAAACTTCTGACCTTGAGGTTAGTAGCCCAATTCATAACCACTGTGTTACCAGAGCTCCTTATGATATTTGCTGTAGCATATTTAAATAATGGGTTATTTATTTTACTCTTTATAATTGAGAAATCTCTGGATAACCAAACAAATTTTAGCTAATGTTAATGTTCTTTCCCCTCAGTCAGTTTTGAGAGAGAGAGACAGAGAAAGAGGAAAAAAAACCAAAAAAAACGAAGAAGAGGTGTGACATTCACTGACATGATATAAAACTCAAAAGGTACAAAGCATGTGCAGTGCAAAGACTTCCTTATACACTTTGTCAGACTTCCTATCACTTTGTCAACCAGTTCCTCTCCCCAGAGGCAATTTGTGTTGCTTTCCTTCCAGAGATAGTGTAAGCAGCAGCATTTTATTTAAAAATAGTGTTTCTATTCTTTTTAATATTTGTAGTGTGTAATGGTTTTTCAATCTTGTATGCATTGTTGTTGTTATTGTTAAATGTCATCGAGTCGATTCCAACTCAAAGCAACCCTGTATAGGGTTTCCTAGGAGTGACTGGTGGATTTGAACAGCTGACCTTGCAGTCCAGTGCTGTATTGTATGGTACCACATCAGGAATCCTTGACTGCATTATAGGTTTTAAATACTTGAATAATGTAATTCATATTTATAACTTATAAAAGAATTGCTTCCTTTGAGATTTTAGCATGAAGGAATATCCATGTAAATTAAAGAGGTTCTTTCTTTTTTAATTGTTAAATGCATAGTGGTATATGTTGTTGTTAGGTGCTGTCAAGTTGATTCTGACTCGTAGCCAAGGATTAGCTGATGAGCTTGAACCTCCAACCTTGTGGTTCAAACTGATCTTGCGGTCCAGTGCTGTATCCCACAGTGCCACACTAAATATGAAATAAAATATCCATTGTCTGACCAGGAGAAAAGACAGATTGCCACACCATTCTCCCTTGGAGCAGCTGGTGGGTTCAAACTGCTGATCTTTAGATTAGCAACTGACTACTTCAGCTACTGCACCATCAGGGATCCTCTCTGAAGATAAACCCCCTGCCTTCAAGTTGATTCTGACTCGCTGTTAAGTGCAGTTGAGTCAGGGTTTCCAAGACTAAATCTTTATGGGAGCAGACATCCTCTTCTTTCTCCTACAGAGTGGCTTGAGATTAACAGCTCAACTCCTAACCCATAGCACAACTAGGGCTCCTTCTCCTGAGGACCAGACCATACATTTTAGAGTTTGCATGAGCATACGCCCCATATTTAACCTTTCTTCTATCTCTCAAAAAAGTCTCACCATAATTGTTGAAAACACTGACTTGTTTTTGGGTAAAATGTTAGAAGTTATTAATAACTTCTAACTAGAACTAACTAGGCTAAAAAGAACATAGTTATATGAGTACCATTAAAACCAGTCTATAGGCCACATAGAGCAGAGATGTCAGCTTGAGGACTAGGGTGCGCCTGACCCAGGCCATTGTGTTTTCAATAGCCTCATATGGATGCGAAAGCTGGACAGTGAATAAGGAGGATCGTAGAAGAATTGATGCCTTTGAGTTGTGGTGTTGGAGGAGAATAATGAAAGTGCCATGGACTGCCAAAAGAACCAATAGATCTGTTTTGGAAGAAGTGCAGCCAGAGTGCTCCTTGGAGGCCAGGATGACTAAGCTTCGTCTCTCCTACTTTGGACATATTGTCCGGAGGAAACAGTTGTTGGAGAAGGATGTCATGCTGGGTAGGGTGGAGGGTCAGAGAAAGAGAGGAAGACCCCCAACGAGATGGATCAGCCAGGTGGCATCATTGATGGACTCAAGTGTGACAGCGGTAGTGAGGTTGGCCCAGGATCGGACATTGTTTCGTTCTGCTGTGCATGGGGTCGCTATGAGTCAGTTCCGACTCGATGGCACCTGACAACAACAACAACAATGGGCCACAGTGGTTTTTCCGCTCTGTGTTATCTGTAACCCTTCTAGGGACTAGGGTCTGTCCTTCCTTCCTTTCTTTCCCTTTCTCCCTTTGAGAGTTGGCTTTAATGTGAGTCTAAAGGGGTCAGAGTTATAGATCATAGTACCCTGCCCTTAGGGGGTTTTAAAGTTTGTGATGGAACAATGAGATGTACTAAAACAATGTTAAGGTAAAGATGATCCAAGTAATAATTGTCGTAAAAATTGTTTTAAAATTCAAGTGTGAGTTTGTGAAAAGGCAAATGTAAGGCTTCGTAGGTGATACGGCATTTAAGCTGTACCTTTAGGAGTGAGTGTGATTTAAACTAAACATCCAGTTTTCTATTTGGGGAAAATTTTGAAATTTTATATCATCCGGTATTCCAATTAATAAAACAGAGCCCAAAAGTCTCAGATTTTTTTCCTTTTTAAAATAGTAACATTAGGACTTAATTCAGGACTTCTGATCTTCCACTTGAATTCCTTTTCTGATATAACACACCACCTCCCTACATATTAAAAATCATCAGGAAAAGTTAGTGAACTGTAATCTCATGAGATGAATCAGTCTTAGAAAAACTAGGGCTGGTTTCTAGATAAGTACTTTCAAAGTTGATGGCTGCTTTGTCATGTCTGAGTTGGGGGTCATTTTTGGTTCCTTTGAAAGGTTGTCTCTTGGAAAGTTAATCATCTGATATTATGAGAAAACGTTTCCTTTAGAGTACTTGGTTTTATATCTTTTACTTTGTTTTCTGTTTCTGTTGCGATTTTACATGCCAATTTCTTATTAATTTGGCTTATTTTTAATTCAAGTAATTTTTAAGTGTTTAGGAAATGCATTTGGATGATAGATGCTATGTTGAGAAAGTACGAATGGCTTGTTTAAAAACCAGTGGGCTTAGATTGGGAGAATGCATGCATTTTGAACCTAGAAATGTTGCAAAGTATGAAATGAATTTGCTCGAGCCACATGTTTTTGCTGTATTAGAAGGTTGCTGTGCTGGCAGCAGGCCTGGACTGTTACTCCCGAGGATTATAGATTGCAGATGGAATGCAATGGAATGTTCTTGCCATAAGGTCTCTTATGGAAAAAGTAGGAGAGGGTGAAAAGTACTTTAGGAAAGTCACAAAACTAAGCAGTAGCAGTTTTATTTAAGCACTTTTCTGGTCTTGAGGGGAGGGAAGGCAGAGAAGGACATTTTCCAGGGCACAGATAAATGTTACTGACTTGACATTTTAGGGGCCGAAGCACAGACAAGTGACTTTGTTTCATAATATGCTATTATATTCCAAGTTTCTCCCACTTTGGAAACATTTTTATTGTTTAATTACTTTGAAAAGGAAGCTGAAACGAAGTTAATTATCTGACTGCTCACATATGTAGGTAAATCTGAAGACATTGAAACTACATAAATTACTCTGGAAAAGGAAGGAGAAGGTGGATAATGAAGTGCATTCTTCCTCATGAGATATACTCCTTCTTGTGATTGAGTTGTGACACGTGCTTTTGTCATTAACTGCAGGAGTCTGTCTCTTGTACTTTGAAAATCTCCATCTATTTCTCAATCTTCCTTTACTCAGAGCCTTTTTTTCTTCCTTTCAGTGTAACAGAATAGAAATAACCCATAATTTCCTGTTTATGGCTTACATTGTACCTCTAAAATTTAAAGACTTTTTCATTCAGGTGTACATTTCTGAATCAAATATTTCACATCAAAACTGGTTAAAAAAGGAAAAAAATGATTGCTTTATGTTCTCTAATGAAAATTTGGGATAGAGGAAGGATTAGAACATAAGGGAGGTTTGGAAAGATGAAGAGTTTTGAAAAGAGTGCTGTTAAGTCTCTGGTGTTTTTTCTAGCATAAATTAGCATAACTGTATGAAAAGAAATATAACTGTACACTAACTATCTTTATAAACAGTCTGGAAAATAGAGAAGAGGAAAATAAAAAGCACCTCTCTTAGCTCCTTACTTTAGTGTACTGCTGGCATTTTCATGGATTTATTTTGGTTGTTACTGTTTCAGTTTGGTTAAATGATTAAAATTAAGGAGCTCTGGTAGCGGAGTGGTTACGAATCGGGCTGCGAACCTTAAGGCCAGCAGTTCGAAACTACCAGGCACTCCATGGGAGAAAGAGGAGGCATTCTGCTCCCGTAAAGATTTACAGCCTCAGAAACCCTGTACAGGGTCGCTATGGGTCGGAACCGACTCGACGGCACTTAACAACAACAACAAATGATTAAAATTAGGGTGGTGTAGTTGTGTGTTCTAGTCTTTTCAAGTTAGTGTTCAGTTTAGTGGGTTTTTTTCCCCTCAGTGTGCTTAGTTGCTGAAAATATGTCCGAAGTATGATAAATAGAGTCTGGCCATCCTGGCTTCCAAGGAACATTCTGGCTGTACTTCTAACACAGATTGGTGTGTTTTTTTGGCAGCTCATGTTATTTTCAATATTCTCCTCTATACCATAACTCAAAGGCATCAATTCTATAGTCTTAATTGTCCAATTTTCACATGCATAGGATGTTATTGAAAATACCATGGCTTGGGTCAGGTGGTACACCTTAGTCCTTAAACTGACGTTTTTACTCTTCACACTTCAAAGAGGTCTTGTGCAGCAGAGTTCTAAAGCAGTCGATTCTCTGATTTCTTCACACTGTTTCCATGAGTGTTGATGGTTTATCCAAGCAGAATGAAGTCTTTGACAACTTCAGTGTTTTCTCCATTTATATGGGTGTTGCTTATTTGTCCAATGGTGAAGATTTTTGTTTTCTTTACA